CCTTGTTTGAGATATTTTTGAATTATGCAATTTTCGTACATTTGTAGTATTTCTGAAGACTATTTACATATATTCAAGACTCAAATCAACTCCAAAATGGCACATCTGTCCCTTTAACATAAAATTAACCCTTTAATCACTGGTTTTATGCTAATTTTAACCCTATGACCAAAAGGTCATATATAGGGCTGGGTAAAATGATTGAAATAATCGATTATCGTTGCTAGGAATTTATAATTTCGATTATCGATTATCAAATTTCATAATCGATTATATGTCAAAGTTACATTTTCTCCATTGTACCCGTTAACAAGTAGTAATCTCTTCTACATAGTTTCCCTTCAGCACATAACATACCCACAATAAACTATAATAACTGATCAAAACAAGAATATACTTCTACAACACATAACATACCCACAATAAACTATAATAACTGATCAAAACTAGGGTTTCCCTCATTGCACACTACATAACCATGTGTTTTATATATTTCAGTATTATACGTTCTGTGTAAGCCTGTCGTTAGTTTGTACGGCCGTCTTCTCTCAAGCAAGTTCTATCGTTAAAATGGTTTTACTGTTAGGTTTGACAGTTGTTTATTTATTACTAGTCCAACTCGTCTACTCTACTCTGTTTAATAACCATGATTTAATCTTACATCTACAGTCTCAGTAAGTACGCTAACCTCAAAATTTCCCTTATTGTACACTGCATGGTGTTGCTTGTGTTCATTAGCCAATATGGTGCGGACACGAACGGTCTTGGTCTCTGATATTTGTCACAATCTAGAAGGTTTCACCGACCGACTGCTAGCACACGAGGAGACAGTAAATCTCCAGTCGATAATCATGTGAAGATCATGCAATTGAAAGGAAAATGAATCTGATTGGATGATGACGGTCTGTCTTACAGATGATAAAATATGTTTGATATTATAAATCCTGTCGGGGGCGTGATAATCTTGTCGTGGAAGCATGGGAACAGGCAAAATTTATTCAAGATTCTAATCGGCAACAAAAATCTCTGACCAAGACTGGTCGTGTGCGACGTAACCAAGCAGATGATGTCATTCAAAGAATCAATACTCTAACCTACTGTGTTATAGAACTAGTCCTTATTTAGACGCTGATTTTTGTCGCAATCTAGAAGGTTTCACTAGCTCCGTTTACATTGTCAGTATTCATCTGGCC